TTTTGATGTTTAAGAACAACAGCTGGATCTTGAACAGTATCATTATCGTCATCATACTCATGTTCTTCTAACATAAAAAGATTGTAATTAGATCCCTTTTTATAAAGCCACGCAGTTAAAGTTTTGATCTTCATCATTCAATGAATGAATGAATGAATCTTTTCAAAACCTTTCTGCGTTGGTATTGAAACTTGAAAATCAGTTGAAGTACTTTGCTCTGAAAAAGAAAACAATTATTTTAAAAAGAACACAAGAATTAATCAAGAGAAAAATAGATAGTCAAACGTCTTTTTAGAAAAGAAAGAATTTTGAATGATGCTTTCTATATGGATCATCACTATTTAGAAGAAAACAATAAAATTGATGGTCAGAAGTTCCTCAGTTGCATTTCTGCTAGTAAAAATCCAGATTCTAATGCCAAAACATGTAAGAAAAGGAAAAAGTGAGCAAGATATTCAAATATGTAAAATACAGATAGATGAATAGTAAAGTAACAGAACTCCAAAGAATTGAACGATATTTGTGAGGAAAAATATTATTTGTTTGAATGATATAAAAAAAAGAAGTATTTATGCAATAATTGTATCTTACATTCTAAATGTAGTTAATTGTCGATTTGAGTAGAAGAAAAAATTGTTTGGAAAATAAGAGAAAAAATAGAAATTCTAATAGATTAATAAACGATGAAAAAACATATCCTTTCAATCTTTTTCTCTTTTGTCATGATTAACAAACTTGTCTGGAAATAAAAAACGACGCAATAAAATATTAGACAACATAATACCGTTTTCCTGATAAAATGTTTGTCACATCTAAATAACATTTGTTCATCTATTTCAAATGATTTTTGCATGATTAATCATCGTAAAGTAAAGAACACAATTTATTTTAAAATTTAAAAACAAAAAAGCTAAGAAACAAAATTCAATTAAATCCTTCCGATGCATGTGTCTGTAAGGAATATGACATCATTGTCCATAGTTGATCAGATTTAAATATCATGAGAAAAAAATGTTCTTTGCATGAATTAAAATATCTTTGGGGATTATTTTTCTATATATCTATCTTCGAAATAATTTATTTTAACAAACAAATATTGAAATTATTTTATCGATGAAGAAAATCTTTTTTTTTAAATTTATTTATTAATTAAAATAATTACTAAATGTGAAAATAGAAATACAAGTCAATATTCATTTTGTTCTCTATTTTGATAAGAAAGTTTGTTAATTATTTTTTGCGTTTGATTACTTTGAAAAATGGCGCATTTCCTATGAAGAAAAATATAACCATCTGACAACATTCGATCAAACAGAGTTAATAAAATTGACGTTGTTTTTTTCTATGGAATAGAAAAATAACATTCACTATTAACTCCATTTCTATTCTGAAATCAAAACTCTATTAGAATTATTAATTTAATTTTTCTATTAAAAGATAAAACAAATAAATTATCTGATGATTTAATTTTAAAAAATAATAGAATTTTTTTCATGAAAATCTTGAGAACGTGAGTGTAGGTTTGGGTGTGGATATTATACCCATTTATCACTCTCACTCATCTACATTCACACCCATCTTTCTTATAGTATATAAAAATTGTGAATTCTTTTGTGACCCATTCTCGACATGAACTCTCAGCAAGGGAGAAACGATAGACTTCAGTCTCTTGGAGTCTGCCATTTTCTCCCTTTTAATACCCATGTTGTAAAAAGTATTTCATTTTGAAGTTTACTACTTTTAACGATGGAAAATCTGATCTATTTTCAAATAACTGATGCCATTCGATTTCAGTTTCGCCATACATTCGCTGAAACTTTCATTGCAGCCAAGTGAAGTTGAGAGATAATTTTGATGAGAAGTTTCTTGATTGAATAAATATGTTGAACTACTAGTTAAAATTACAGTGATAAGCAGTACGAAATTGATTATACGAATAGTAGAAAGTAACTTGTTTTCTTTTACTAGTACAGAGAGAAAATAAGGTATACAATTAATTGGCAAAAAAATGTATTTTTCTTATCATTATTTTTTCTTTATTATTAAAATGCATACTGTAGATACCATTCATTTCGACACACAGAAACAAAAGGATTTCATCAACTAGAAAAAATCAATGATTCTGTTATATTAAGATAGTATATATATTAGGAAACGAAGCGTTTGTCTCTTTTTCTCATTCTCTCTATACATGTACATGTATAAATGCAGTATATTTATAAAGAAACAACTCACAATGATAAGAAAATAAGAAGACATGCTACAGAAGAAACATAGAAGAGGGTAGAATACCAAAGAAGAAGAAGAGAGAGAAACACTGTTAAAAAAGGCAAGAAAGCGTGGAGTATGTTGGAATCTTATATTCATAATAGCTGCGCTACATAACAATTCATATTTTATTGTTATCAATTTTCTGACGTATTTGCCAACCAGAACGAAAGAAGGAAAAAGTGGGTGTTGATGCGGGTGTGATGTGAGTGTGGGTGGGTGTCGGTGTGGGTGTGAATGGGGTATGTATGTTAAAGTCTAATTGATCCATCATTCGTACACATCCACACCCACAGCATACTCACACCGACACCGGCATCACACCTGCATTCAAACCCTCAAGATGGTACAAATATTATTTCGTATTTTTCTTTCTTTACTTTTGAATTTACAATTAAATAGTTAAAAGTAATTGGGTATTAGTGTGTGGTGGATGGAAGGTACTTACAATATTCACACCATTTATATTTTACGGTGAATTTGTACCGATCATAAACGTCATTTAAATGATAAACGATTTCTGTCATACTCATACAACTTTACTTTCATTATATAAACTATTCCGTAATTATTCATAGTATACAGACAAAAATTAGAAAAGATATTCCAGTCTTACTAGATTCAAGATTGAACTTGATCTTTTTCTCTCTTATTAACACGATGTTTACAGCATGCGTCGTAGTGCACAAAAGTTGAAGCAGCATTCTTTTTTTGCAGTTATTTTATTAAACAACAATTTAAGGCATGGTGGAGAGGAAGAGATAAAAACCATTTGTCGAAAGATTTGTATTTCTCCTTCAGCACTTATATTCACAAGAAAGTGTACCTCGGCATTGACGTATTGCAGTGATTGAACAGATGAAGATCAAAACAAAATGGAAAGAAAAACAATAACATAAAATACGTTGGTTGTTTCGTTTTTGTTGATTTCTCTCGATCTTCTTCTTAAAAACAATATTTTCAACTGGAACTAGACTTACCTCACACCCTCGTTTTAACGATAAAATAAGAAAAGTAAGCACCGTAGCTGATGGAAATAAATTCCTTGTATTTTGTTTAGCTTAATCTTATTATTAAAATATTCTACTCAAATTTTATTCCAATCTAAAGTTAGAAACAGTAAATTATTCATATTAAACTTCCACCAGAAGAACTTAATTATTTCTCACACGTGAAAAAGGACTCCTCAAGAAACTATTATAACTTATATTTGTGATTAATAATTCATAAACTAAAATGAATTTATTATTTATTCAAAATGAAATGATTTTATCTTTTATTTAGATGAAGTATATGATTTCACAGTTCAGTTATTTTCAAAATAAAATTGTTTTCATTTTATTTAGTACATCGTTCATATTTTTGAATTCGTTGATTGTGAGTATCAGCAACGTAAAGATTTCCTTCAACATCAAATGATAGACCTTTGGGATTATTTAATTGATTTGGTTCATGTCCTTGACCATTTCCACCAACAACAATTGAACCGTTTGTATTTCCTTCATACCATCGCATAACTCGATGATTCCAAGCGTCTGCAATAATGATTTGACCCAAATTATCAACAATTACTCCTTCAGGATGAGATAATTGGTTAAGACCATTTCCCTCTCCATTTCTGCCAGCAACAATAACTCCTTCTTTTGCCCCCTTTCTCCATTTGATTATACGATGACTATATTCATCCGATACATAAACAGAATAATCTTCATCGACGAAGATACAATTAGGTCTCAATAAATGATTGAGATCATTTCCTTTATCATTGCCACCTGCCACTACTGTTCCATCTGAGTCTCCTTCTTTCCATCGTCTCACTTGAGACAGTAACGAATCAGAAACATAAATAGACCCATCTTTGTCTATTGTTATACTGCGACATGAAATGTAAGAAATAAGAATCTCTGGATTTTTTTGACTTTGGCGAAACCATCGCAGTACTCGGTTGTTCCCAAAATCACATATGATTATCGCATTTTTCTCTTTATCAACAGCTATGTCGATTGGCGCAGCGAGTTGATCCTCTCTCTTGCCTTTTCCGTTTCCGCCTGCAATGACTTGACCACTGTCCGAATTATGTTTCCATTCAACAATACGATGATTGTCAGTATCAGCAATCAAAATGCTTTTGTTATCATCGATATAGATCCCATGAGGCATGAAGAGTTGATTTAATTGATCTCCGTATCCATTTCCTCCAGCAACAGTAATTCCATGTTGTTTCCATTTGTCACATTTTGGCTTGTTTCGTACTAATAGCGAAGAAAAAAAGATTTGATATTAAATTAAAATCTAACAATATCAATCTAGTCAAAGATATCAGAACAAAAAAAATAGAATTAATTTGAATGAAGAAATTTTATATAATATTTGCAAAGTTCGAGAAGAAAACAATATAAAGATTGTTGATTTATCTTAAATCCAAACTTTGATTTTATTTTGAAAAGAAATATTGAGTCATATATGGAAAAAGTATCTAAATTTGAATGGAATTAAAAGGAAAAATGG